GACTCTAACAGGCCAACTACTCTCTCGTAAATGTATATACCAGGAATCTATTTATTTCTCAAAAACTTATAAAATCATCAATCTGCTACCTGTTTGCTATTGCACGAACCATGTTAAATATGTAAACTAATTGGTTATATTAATAATTATATTTAAATTAAGAAAAGATAGTATGGTAGGCCAGAAATCTCCTTTCTAAGGAGAGGCAGTGGACTATTGGCTGTTATATAAGGCTGTTGATAATTATCATGATTGAACAAATCCTTTGTTCAGGGATTCAAGCGTAAATAGAGTAAAGGTTTACTAATAGTAAAACAACCAAATTCCATTTACGGTGTTAACTAAGTATATTTAAAGTAACACAATAGCAGGGTTGTAGTAAACATTTCAAAACTCTTATTACCGCGATGTAAAAGTGTACACAAATTGAACAGCGGCATCTAGTGACGGTAACGGAAATTCCAAAGGATAAAACTTACGTATAATAACCTGCTTGAAATTAGCTAAATTATATATATTTATTCATTTTAGAAAGAACTAATTTAAGAAGTAGTGGATTGGATCATTTTCTCACAAAACCATGTCGAATAGCTCTATATAATAGGTCTTTACCTATGAAATTGCCGTTTTGTATGCAATAAGTAATAGTCGGTAGGTGCAAGGTCACATCTGCAACCAGCTTTCGTCAATCGGTCGTCCCCACTGCTCCTTCACGACAACGCGCGACCCCATACTGCGCAACAGACAGTCTCCAAGCTGCAAGAGCTGGGGTTGGAAGCTCTCCTTCATCCGCCATACTCACCAGACCTTGCACCTACCGGCTATTACTTTTTCCAAAATTTAGACAACTTTTTAGTGGGTAAAAAATTCATTTCCCGAGAGGCAGTACAAAATGTCTTTGAAGAGTTTGTTGCCTCGAGTCCAGCTGATTTTTACAAGAAGGGCATCAATAAACTGCCAATACGTTGGCAAAGATGCGTCGAAGGCATGGGTGATTACTTCGAATAACAGAAATAAAAAAGTTTGAAAAAATAAGTACTTTCACTTATTGCATACAAAACGGCAATTTCATAGGTAAAGACCTAATATTATTGTATAAAATTTCCTTAAAAATGTACTTTAGGGGCAAGGTATACAGGTACACTAACATACAAAAAAATCTGACCATAAAATATTTAATTAAAGCTATGAAGATAGAAATTATAAATGAAACGAATAAACCTGTGTGTACGTGAAGTAATATGTCGTTCACTAACATCTAACTCTTTACAATTCTCGAGAGACAAATCTAATTTGCATGACTAAGCACGGGTATCCTAGCAATTTGGTATTTTTAAATTAGTGAGTAGACACGTGTCAAATTGAGTTAGGTTTAAAGTGAAATGAGTTAATTTTAAAGTCCTTTTTCCTTTCGTTACCTAATTATATTACTACTACTTAGCTAACAGTACTTTTTCTAAAAGTTACTCAAATTCTTTCTTTTGTGAACGAGATAAACAATTTAAATTTAATGTTTTGAATGTTCTCATTTCTAAAATTCTATTTTGAAAACGCATTAGCATTTTTTGGTGTTCTATCTGCTACTTGGCGATATGTGTTGACACAATAAGCCAATCTTTTGGTATTTAATTTTGTATATCATTAGCAGAAAGAATAGCTGAATTAGTAATCTGAAATTGTTTTAATATGATCGTATTTTCTTTAACTGGGTTGCCTTTTTTGTACAATAATGATTAACTAATAATATTTAATTGTTAAGATTGTGGAAGAGCCAAAATATCAATTTCCTATGTTTCGAAAATTTAGAACAATACAAATCTATGAATCAGTCGACCCTACAATTTACTCTCTCTCTCTCTCCTCTCTCCTCTCTCCTTAGAAAGGAGGTTTTGGCCTACTACTACGTGATGTTCAAAGTTTACATAACTAGCGCCGGTGTACATTTTCTATACGAATAAGTGGCTGAAAAGAATGAGAAGATGTACGCATAATCCTAAAAGACAAAAATCAAATATATTATTACTATATTGCAAACAATACAAATGTGATCTTCTCGTTTATTAGGAGAACAAAAATATTTCACGAACATCCCGAGTTTCACATAAATGTTAGACACGGATGAAAATGTTATTAATAAAACAAAGTTTACCACATGTTTATACATGTAAAAAAGTACAAATGTTTTTTTTATTAAAAAAAAACACAATGGCGGCACACAGCCGTTGTCAAAAATATAGGTTTTTAAAAAGTTGCTCCGGGGCTTATCTTGAAGTTAGGTTATGTATGTAGGCTAAAATATCTTGAAGTTTTAATGCTGCAAAAAAAAAAACATTTTGAACTATATGAAAATATCTAGTGTCGCACGAGATTTAAAAAATGTTTATTTTTGAAACAATGGCAATCTTTTGAAAGAAGTCACTTTTTTCGAAAAAATAAGTAAATTTTTTGTTGATAACTTTTATAAATTTATATATTTAGCAAAATTCAAAATCTAATTAAGATGCTACAGTTAAAATTTGAGCGGTTAAAATTTGATCGGATAAAAATTAAGAGAGTTATCTTTCAAGCCAATTTGCCAATCAATTTTACCATTAGTCAGCAATACCAGCTTCACACAAATTCCATTCCAAGTTTATATTTTCTTCGTCTTCCAGATTTTTTACGATCTAGAGGCCGAACGTGCCAGTTTTGCAGCATCCGTCAAAGCCAACTCGGCATGACTAATCCTTATATGAAATAGATGAAACTTATATGCATAAGATAAACGTGTCCCCCGCCAACTCCAAGTCAGAAGGTTACGACTCAATTTGTACTAGTATCTTGAAAACAAGTAGTATCCAATTAACACCCATAATCATATTTCACACACAAATTGTACATTGTAATACAAATTGAGTCGTAACCTTCTGACTTGGAGTTTGCAAGTTATTAATTATAGGCCGATTCTCTCAAATTTTTGCAATGCCTGAAGAAGGCTTCTGAGTTGGGACTACTACATATAATATTATAAGATCATTGATGTACACTTGGTTGGCAAATAAAGATTTGATTTGATTTGATTTGATTTGATTAATCTCTTGCCTATCTTTTCTAAATTATTTGAATAGGTTGTGCATGATAAATTGACGTATTTTTTCGATAAGCATAATATTATTGATAGAAATCAGTTTGGGTTTAAGTTTGGGTTTCATTGATACAAATCATCTATTGATGCCATATTTGACCTTGTAAATGACATCCTAGAGAACTTAAATAATAGTAAGTATACAACAGTTGTGTTTCTGAATATGTCGAAGGCTTTCGATTTTGCGCCACATGAGTAGCTTTTGTAAAAACTAGAATGTTATGGCATTAGAGGACCTGCACTAAACTGGTTACAAAGTTATTTCGAGCATAGATATATCTCAATTGAAAGTTCGTTGTTCCCCAAGGAAGCATGCTAGGGCCGCTACTATTTCTAGTATATATCAATGATTTGCCTTAAATTTCACACCACAAAAAGATATTGTTATGTATCTGTTATAGTCATGACTGACAAAAAATATGACAATTACACAACACAAAAGTGACATTCACAATACTATTACATTAATTATTAATTGGTTAAATGATAGTAATCTGAAAGTTAACATATCTAAAACAAATATGATAAATTTAAATAACTTTAAGAATACTGATTTTGACATTCATTATGATGGACATACATTATCGAATGCTGATTACGTGTCATTTCTTGGATTCATAATAACTTCTAAATTCAATTGGAACAAATTGAAAAAGTGAGCAACAAGATCAACGGGTTTTCATATGCTCTTTATAGATTAGCAAAACTAGCAAACCAAAAACGGCGTACACGGCTTATGTTGCTAATATGTCGAATCTGCTCTTCGGTATGGACCATTAATATGGGGCAATAGCTCAGAGGTTCAGAAGGTTTTTATTGCTCAAAAAAGATGCATAAGATCGATATGTGATATTGCTCCAGACATATCATGTTGCCTTTATTTTAAACAACTAAAAATACTAATACTCCCTTCGGCCTGTTTTTATATATTAGAGGTAGGGAAATTTATCAAGCAACACCTTTAGGTGTTTAAACGGGCAAAAGATGAACCCAGACAGAGTCGTTCTGGACAGGATGCCAAAAAGTAGTCGACTGGAAAAAACTCTTACGCTATGTGCATAAAAATATATAATAAAATCCCAAATTGTATAAAGACATTACCTTTAAATAAGTTTATAATAAAACTATGTTGGTGGCTTATGAAAAATTATTTTTTTCCCACCAAGGAACTTATAAAAAATAAGGAATCGTAAAAATGAAAAATGGAACAAGAGCCCAATATAATTGATACATTTTTGACCTGGGGAAAGACAATAATAATAATATTATATAGGTACTTTAATCATTTATTAAATTTGTATGCTATTTTCATGGCTAAATGGGCCTGTTCTGTTTATATCAAACTTGTTTTATAATACCACATTATGTACTACCCCATTTAAAGCAAATGAATAGTTTAAATTTATTTGGTTGGCTTCTAGGCAGTAATTGTAACAAGTTAAGCCTATTGGCAACTGCAGGACCTCCATAATCTTCAGTATACCGAGTAATCTATCGTTGAAAACGCATGTAGCAACATCATGAAAATACGTCGTCACCATGTGTACTAGCAATTGCAGAGTGAGGACTAACCTCTACTGTTTAACGCGCCTAACTATAGCAACATTTTTAGGCAAAATATTTTGCGATTATAGGTATAAATTTTATCGAGATAGTCCAAAAACCAAAATGCGCGAAATTTGTAATTTCGGACGTTGAAAGTATGTTCAGTTAAATTATTTAAATGAACTAATATTTGTTTTAAAGAGATCTAAAACAGTTTTTTTAATATTTTTGTATAGTTTATCCATCAATTAAGCCAATAAAAAAAAGATGAAAAAAATTACAGTGCCATAACCCCTTAATTGCTCAAATTACACCCTCAGTTTGTGTTCAATTAGGTGTAACGCTGTTTTATTGTTTTGAATTCTGTACGCATTGTTTCTTTTATTTGTCCCAGTACCAATTGAAATTGAGTCGAGACCTGATAATTTGCCTGGAATTTTTCGCAAATTTCAATAAATATTGGACGCAGATGCCTCAAAATCCCATGATCCAATGTAGGAAACATATGATGAAGAGCGTGATCTCCGAATAAAGTAATCACAGCAAACACATTGTTATTAACATCTTTGCGATCAAGGAGCGCTTCGATTTGGTGCATTCCCCAGTCAGGGGTTTCACTCCTGCAAAAATATTAGTTTTATTAAAAAAATATAACAAATTAAAAAAAATATAACCATACAAATAGAAAAAATTGGTTTGCTCAACTCATAAAAGTCAAAAAACATATATAGGATATGACAGAAAGACCAATGAAAAAGCATTTCATTAATTCATATATTCAACATTTTGTCCTTCAAAAACATAAAACACAAAAGGGCATAATTTATTTATAGTAATCACGGCTTTGCACACAATTTTTTTTTACACGCGGACTGCCGAACGTACTGCCACACCCGAACAGATGTCTTGGGATTTAAAAAAAAAATGCAACAATGTGACAAAGATACTAGATGACCTTCCGACATTCAGTTAAATTTATTAGATTTCTTTGTCTCTTCAAATGGTAGGGTATTGTTAAATCACTTTGGTACCAGTATTGATTTAAAAATACCTATTACATAAACATATGATTCATTCATCCTTAATTCATTCACCGTGTGGTGACGGATTAAGAATACGGAATGTCACCACCTCTATTCATCCCGTGGGTGTCGTAAGAGCCGACTAAGGGAGCAAACTACACAGGACAACGACACTGCAAAGAGAAGGAAAACTTGACACAAACCCTTTTTTTTTTTTTTTTTTAACGTGTGGAAATCCCCTCGGACCGTCACCCCTCCGGGGTTTGCGGCGGGGTGGTGTGTCGGACTCGGACCGACTAAAACCACACGGTGTGCCACTCTGCGCCTGTAACAGGAGGGATCCGGGAACAGCTGTTGTTAAGACATCCGGACCCCTCCTAGCGCCAGCCCGCTCCTGGTGCGGGCTCCGTCTCAATACATTTTCCTCTCTTTAGGCGACGTCCGGCACACACGGACGCCGCCCCCTCGCGGCTGGCCAACTAATGCGGGTGGAGGGGAAACCCACCCCGTCCACCCGCGGCCACACTCAGGGCGGCATGAGGCTGTGGTAGGCGGGCCTCCGCCGCCCGGTTCGCCGGCGGCGGATCGGGTCCGAGTGGAGGTCGTCCTCCCGGGCCCTCTCCGCCGCCTCCTTCCGCGAGATTACTACCTCGCAGAAGGTTGCGACCGCGGTAAAACAACTGTCGCTACCGGCCATGGAGCGTACTACGGCCGGTAGCGAGAGATCCACTCCGATGACTGCAGTGAGGGCCCGGCGCTGCGCCGCCCATGCGGGGCAGACCGCCAGCGTGTGCTGGGCCGAGTCCTCACTGCAGTCGCAGTGGTGGCAGGCGGGACTCAGTTCCCTCCTAGCGACCGTGTGCAGGTACTTTCCGAAGCAACCATGCCCGGAAAGCACCTGCGTCAGCCGGAAGGAAAGGGTCCCGTGCTGCCGCCCTGCCCACTCGGCGATGACCGGCTGGAGAGCCTCCACGGCGGCGAAGCCAGCGCGTGGAGTCTCCAGCCGGAACGACCAACGAGCCATCGTGGCTCGGCGAGCGGCTTCGCGCCACTCGCGCACATCCTCGGGCGGAGGGCGAAATCCGCTCTCCGCCCGGAAGTCAGCCACTCGCCGATAAACTTCGGCGAGCACTTCCGCCTCCAAATCCCACGGGGGAGTTCCGGCCAATGCGCACGCCACCTCCGTCGAAACGGTGCGGTAACCGCGTATGGCTCTGACCGCCATTACCCTCTGAGGGCGCCAGAGGCGTACCCTATTCTGGGCGGTCAGAGCCGCCGCCCACACCGGTGCACCGTACAGTGCCATTGACCGGACAACCCCCGTGTACAGCCGTCTTGTCGCGACGCTGGGTCCACCCATATTGGGCAAAAGTCGCCCTAGGGCAGACGCAGCGCCGACCAGCTTTGGAGCAAGCTGTCGGAAGTGCTCGTCGAAGAGCCACCTCCCGTCGAGGATCAGGCCCAGATATTTCATCTGGGCCCGAACCGGTACGAGGACCGAGTTGACCACTATTGAGGCGCCAGGGGGTGGACCACGACGGGGCCCATGGAATAACAGGGCCTCCGTCTTATCTAGGGCCACCCGTAAGCCCAGCGCCTCAATGCGCCCGACCACCAGGGAGACTCCCCCTGTGGCCAGGCGCGCCGCCTCTTGGAAGTTTGCCCCCCGGGCTGTCACGAGGGTATCGTCTGCGTAACAGATTACACCCAGCCCGGGGGGGAAATCGGCGCGAAGGGCCCAGTCGTACCCTATGTTCCACAAGAGGGGTCCAAGAACAGACCCCTGTGGAACACCGCACGACATGGGCCGACACCTCAGATTACCTTCTCGGTCCTCGTACACGACGGTACGCTCCTCTAAATAGTCTGCCACCAGCCGCCTCAGGTACTTTGGCACCCCATGATAGTGGAGTGCTTCCCTGATGCAGCTGAATGGCAGACTATTGAATGCGTTGGCGATGTCTAATGACACCGCCAACAGCACGCCGCCACAGATCACGGCCTCTTTGGTCACGGCCCTCAGGCGCAACACGGCGTCGACTGTCGAACGCCCCGCCCGAAAACCAAATTGGGCGTCCGACAGATCGGGGCCCACCTCGCAGAGGTGCCGGACGATGCGGGCAGAAAGAACCCTCTCAAACAATTTGCCCGCCTCGTCCAGCAGCACGATGGGCCTATAGGCCGCGACCGAATCGGCAGGCCGTCCCGGCTTCGTCAGTAGGACCAGCTTCCCGCTCTTCCAGCACTCAGGGAAGCGTCCCGACGCCAAGCTAGCGTCGAACACCTCCCCGAGGCGGTCTGCCATGTGGTTGAGGGCCAGGGCCAGCACTCGGGCCGGTACCCCGTCTGGCCCAGGGGCGGTGTTCTTGGAACGGATCCGTAGAACAGCCGCCCCTACCTCCGATTCCCGGACGGGCGGAACATTGTCCTCCCCGTGCTCCCCGTCGTCTCCGGCCCGGGAGGCCATCGACGGGGGAGTGTGTTCCGCCCGTTGTGGGAAAAGGCCCTCAACCACTTCTCGCAGGAAGCTGGGCTGGAGAGTCTCCGTAAGGGGGGGCCCCGACGCGCGGAGCTTTTGTCGCACCGCGCGGTAAGGGCGACCCCAGGGGTCACGATTAAGACCCTCCAGCATCTCCTGTCTTTTTTTTCCTCTTTGGCGCGGCTAATGGCCAGCTTCAGAGTTTTCCGCGCCCGTCGGTACTCCTCATGAAGCCGGTCCTCCTCACCGTCTCCACGGTGACGCCGCCGACTGCGCGTGTAGGAGTTCCGGGCACGTGTACAGGCCGCACGGAGGTCCGCCAGCTCCTGGGACCACCAGTAGACCTCCTTCCTTGGAGGCCGACGACCTCGAACGCGGGGCATGGCCGCATCGCATACATGCGTAATCGCATCGCGAAAGCGGCCAGCCCCCACGTCGACCTCCTCGGTCGGAGCCTGAGGAGACAGCCACGAGTGAATTATGGCTGCCTCCTCTAGTAGGTCCCGGTTCAGCCTGGCAACAGCCCACCGCGGAAAGCGGGATAAACGCCGCGCCACGTGACCCCTACTGGAGTCCTGGGTCCGGGAGAGCTCAAATCGGATATACAGGTGATCCGAGAGCGTCTCAACCTCTTCCAGGACACACCAGGTCCTTACTCGTGCGGCGAGGACAGGGGTAGCGAACGAAAGGTCCACTATCGACCCCCCCTGCTGTCGCACGCACGTGTTGGTGGAGCCTCTGTTTAGAAGACAGAGGCCCACCGAGGCCGCCCACTCCTCTACGGCCTCGCCCCTGGCGTCCGCCCTGGGGGAACCCCACGCAATGGACTTTGCGTTGAAGTCCCCCAGCACAAGGACGTGCCCAGACGCTAGTCGCCGTATCGAGGTCTCCAAGCTGGTTAGGAAAACCTCGAAGTCGTTCAAACTCCGGTTGGGGGAGAAATAGACACCATATATGGTGATCCCCCCCCACTCGACGGCAACATATCCAGTGCCCTTGTCTCTTAGCGACAAGGGCGGGGAATGAGCCGTCGTGGAACCGACGACTGCCACGGAGCCGTCCCAGTCACCCATCCAGTTTGGACGGGGAGGGACAGAATAGGGCTCCGCGACTACGGCAACACCTATCGACCACTGTGCCATGGTTTGCAGGAAGAGATCCTGCGCCGCGGCACAGTGGTTCAGGTTCGTCTGGACCAGGAGGTTGGAGACTTGATCCATTACTGGATCGTCTCTACAACCTCCTCCATGGGCGACGACGTCGACGCACGGACTATATCGGAGGCAGCCTGGGTCGACTGGCTAACCCCCGACGTCTGCCGAGAACTGCGGGGAGGCTTGCAGCCTCTCTGCCCCATCTGGTGATTGGCGGGCTTATTGCCCGCCGCACACACTGGGCAGTGAGGGGCGGCAGAGCATTCTGCCGCCTTATGCCCCGGTTGACCGCAGCGGAAACACAGTCCGCCGCAGTCAAAACAGCTGTCGCACTTGACGCGCGTGTGTCCCGATGCTAGGCATTTGTAGCACCTCATCGGTCTCGCCGCCAGGACTGTGATCCTGGCGCTCACGAAACCGATGAGCAGCCTGCCGGCGTCGGCCAATACTTTGGCCGACGCTACGGGACAGCTGACCCACACGGCGCCAAGCCCTCCTGGACCGGGGCGGATGGTGCCGACCCTGACGTTGTCCGCGCTGCACCCCGTCTTCTCCCGGATTACAGCGCGGATATCTTCGGCCGTTACGGAGTCGTCCAGGCCCGAGATGCGCAACTCTGCGCACTTAGTAGGCCTGGCGATCTTTACACCATCTGTGGTCGCGAATAAACCCCGCAGCTTCTCGGCAAATGTGTCCGCCGTCTTTGCGCCTTCAGCCCCAGGGAACTCGAGGACTCGAGCTCCCGTCTGGGCGAGGCGCATCCTGACCCCCACCGTTCCAAAATCGTTGGCGAGGCTGTCCCGGGCCTTTTTGAAGACGGCCGCGTAGGACAGCCCGCCGTCCGCCGCCTCCGGGGACACGGTCACCACTACAGCCGCGGTTTTGGGCGGCTGCAGCTTCCGCGGCCTCTTTGTGGAGGCCGTTGCCACCGGTGGCGAAGGCTGGGCTTGGGCTGCTTTTTTGGCAGCCTTTTTGGCCCGCCTTCGGGACTTCTTGGAGCCCCTCGCCTCCTGCCAACCCTCGTTGGAGGGGGCAGGTGCGGAGGGGCCCGGCAGGGGTGTCGGAGTGGGGAGCGGAGGGAATGCCACTCCGCTCCTCGGCGCCGTTTTAGGCCCCGTCTTGGCCGGCGCCTGGGGATGTGCCTTGGCCGGCGCCTTAGCCGGTGCCTTGGCCGGCGCCTGGGCCGGTGCCTTGGCCCCCCTCCTCGGCTTTTGGGGAGCCGATGGAGTCGGGGCAGACGCCGCCGCCGCGTAGGAGACGCGGCCTCCCACTACGGGGAGCGCGGTCGGAGCGGCGGCCTTAGGCCGCTGTGTCGACGCGAGCGGGGGGCGCATACTCGGCGCAGGAGGCAATCTCGCCTCCAGGCCAGCCAGGCGTCCGTCCAGCATATTCCCAACTGCGATGAGGATTTCTCGCAGTTGGGAGTCAAATGCCCCTGAGTTGGTGGTAGGGGCAGGCTGGGACGCGGACGGGGCTTCCCGCTCGGGGAGGTTCGCCTGGAAGCGGGCGAACTGAGCGCTCAGCTCGTTCACCCGCTCCGTCAGCTTCTCGTTGGCCACCTGCAGGCGAGAGACGTCGCCCGCTAGGCCCTCCACGACCTCCGACAAAGCGGAGGAGGAGTCCTTAAGGGCCCTCACAAACGAGCCCTTAAGGTTCACGGATTTGGTGGCCACCTTGTTGATGACGGCCACCGCCGCTTTCGCCCTCTCCTGCACGGACACGGGAGCCTGGGGGGCATTTCCCCCCACCGGCTCCCGAACCTTGAGCAGGAGATCCGCGATCTCCTCCTCCGCTACGGCCTCGCCGTCCACTCGTACGCTCCTGTAGGACTCCGCGTTTGAGAACGCGGAGCCTGACGGGGTCGAGACCGAGGCCGAGGCCGGTTTACGCGCCCTCCCTCGGCGGCTGCTTGCCACCTTTGGTGGCATCATTTCGCCGGACGTGTCGGTCCCCTCTTCCCTGGAGCGTCCGCGTTTCCTGCTGTCGCTTCGTTCCGCCTCCATGGCCTCCGCGCCATCCGACGAAGCGGCGGATCCGGAACGCAGCCGATCCGATGCTCTTCGGCTCCCAGAGACCAGAGTCAGACTGACCTCTGGGAGCCCCATCGAGATAGGCGTTCCTGACACCATCTCACCCTCAGTGGACGACCCATCCGCTCCACTGTTCTTCTTCTCCCTCCTTGCCTTCGTTGCCGTATCCGTTTGACTTGCCTTTTTCCGTTGAGTTTGGTTTTCCGATCGTTTGTCTATATTTTTAACATTTTCCATAATAATCCCACGAGTGGGGGAGAACTAAAGGTCCACCCGGGCAGAGATCCCCCATTACCCGGGCAAGCGTAAGTTTTTAACCCAACCGAGGGGTCCGCAGGTACCTCGGCTTGGAGTGCGCTCGCGACTGAACTTCCCATCAGCCATGCATCCCCTGGCCACGCACCAGAACACGGGATTCGGGGAATTTTTTAGAGAGGTTATCTTCCTCGCGGTCCGGGCGGTTAAGCCAAGACCCTCGCCCCCGATCAGAGCCGCGAGACTTAACCACAGCGCTCTTCTCGGGATTGCGATATGCCGACGGTTGACAGGGAGACTACGTCCCCCTGCCTGCTCGGTGGTAGTGTGAGTACACGCCGAGCCCGTCCTCCTTTCTCCACCGCTATCAGCGGAGAAACTGTGGCCCCTACAGGGCCCCGCCATCAGGTTTTTTACCGAGGTTTCCTCCTCCATGCTCCGAAGAGCGAAGAGCCAGCAGGGCAACCGGCAGACACGCCCACCCTGCTGGACCAGGCCTTGCCCGAGAGCCGATGAACGGCTGCCTCTTCTGCTAGAATATTGGCCGCTGGCGATAATCCTCTCCTCCAAGAGGACAAGGAGGAAACAGTACCATCGCCAGCGTTTCCAGGGTGCACCACGAGGAGGTTTTCTAGCCCAGCACCCCAAACCCTATACCAACCCGTCTGGCCAGCGTGTTATATTAGGCCAAAACCTCTTTTCTAAGGAGAGGACTATGTCCAGCAGTGGACTATTATAGGCTGTTGATGTGATGTTGATGTGAAACATATAATTGAGTCTAAATTTTTGAAATTCATGCCCTTATCTTAGCAAATTATATATTTACATAATATACTATATCAAATAAATTATATAGGCTTAAATAACATAATATATCATTTATTAAAATTAAGAACGACTGTACTTGCCTCGGTTGGTCTCCATCTTTAATGACGTCAGGATGATGATGTGAGGCACTCACTGCTATACTAGTGAATATGAAACTTCCAATACAATTAATGGATAACCATGTGGCAATCACTTGTAGAACGGGGGTTCCAGTCGTAATCCACATCCAAATAGGGAGTGTCAGGCCTAGGGCATCATGCCAGCGAAAATGTTTCTTGAAAAACCCTTTGCGAAGAAAGATGCATATGATTCTGAAATGTTAAAGAATTTAAATAAATGTTTAAGCATAAATGCTTTTGGTTTATTTTGTTATTTTACTATTTGAAAACAACATAAATCGTAAAATGATTAAATGAAAAAATACTATTCAATTAATAATACTTCTGACTAATACAAGGTCAAAAACATTTTAAAGTAAATATTAATCTAAACCGTGGCTTTTATAAATATATCATTGTTTTAGTTTGAAAATTGTTTAACTACGATAAACGATTGTTTTTGCTCTTAAAGAGCAAGATGTCATATTATGATACTTTTGTACCGACGAAGAAGAAATATAGTTTACTTAAGATAGTAGATATACAACAGCAACTTTAAATAATTTAGTTATTAAATTAAACTTTATCTCAAAAAGATTTTATAAACCTAGTCTTACCTTTTAGAGAAACTTATTAAAAAGTAAAAGGGGAAAAAAAATAATTCAATAATAGGTCCCAACTTTGCGTAAAATGGTTTATCTTTTCTTGGATGAAGTAATAGAAATGGTTCGAGTTCGGTAATATCTAAGTCCAAAAGTGTATTGGTGTATAAGTGATGGGATAACACATGTGAAATCCTGAAATCCCTGAAACGAAAAAATATTAATAAAAACTACGTTCGAAAATGTAAATTAATCCATATTATACAGGGTTACTGGTTAAGTCGATTCAGATAGTTTAGGAAGCCATAATTTCTGTTGGATTTCACTTTAGAATACCATATCCCAAAACTAACCATTTTCAAGATATTGGACTTATAAGATTTTTTATAAAAATTGCCGAAATTTGGCCCTAACCAATTTTTTTAGAGATATTATCTTAATTTTTTTTTTTTAATTTTCACTGTTTTTATACAGTTGATACATTGTTTTACAATTTCCACTACCAATATTATAGTTTAATGAACAAACTGGGCCGAACTAGATGGTTAATAATAGCAAAAAGAACTACATTCGTATTTTTTTTTGTTTATTTGACGAGTCTCTCAAAATCCCTTTTTTTAGCTATAATGAACCATCTACTTCGGCCCAGTTAGTTAAATTAACTACAATTTTGGTAATGACAATTATAAAACAAGGTATCAACAACACAAAAACAGTAAAAAGAAGAAAATAATGAGGATTAAATGTTTAAAAAAAAAATGTATTTAGGCAAAAATTTGGCAATTATTATAAAATATCCTAAAAGTCCAATATCTTGAAAATGGATGGGTTTTTCATATGGTATGTTTTCGTAAAATCTATTAGTAATAATGGCTACTATAGCCCCCTAAAGTATCTAGGTCGATTTAACCAGTGACCCTGTATAATATATATTTTAATGTACGCTATTGGTAGCAGGACAACGGATTCGTAGTTCATCAACAAGAGTGTCCACAAATATATTGAACTGAATTGAATTGAATTTTAATCCCCATTTCATTGATGATGCTAAATGGAGATTTACTCGAGTGTCATGGAGACCAATTGCATTTGAAAGATTAGGTAATAGAATGAATAAAAGTCATATAATGTTTCCACGTTTTCACTTAAAGCTTCTACACGTTGTCAAAAATGTAAAGGGAGGAAATCGAAAAAAAGATATTCAGGTGCATCAGATATTTTGGGAATATGTTATTTAAACTTTTTTTATGTTAGAGGGGGTAGACGAGCAGACGGGTCACCTGATGGAAACTCCAAAAGTGCTCCCATTAAAAGGTCTGACGATTTTAAAGTGACCCAAGCTCAGATCGTCAGCAAAGTTGAAAAATCGCCATTTCGAAATACCCGACAGTCTAGATTTTATACAGACGGTTCAGCTTGATGTTCCTGTCATACTAGCCAAAAATCTGACGATGATTTTGCAGGATATTTTAAATCTGACGGTTTCAAATATTTTAATTTTTTGTTTGTTTTTTTATAAAATGTGACAAATAAAGGCACGAAAAATTATGGAGACATTTAAAGAAAAAATCTTTGCTTCAAAATAACAAAGAAATGTGTTGGTAAGGTGTTTTTTTTTTTGAAATTTGTGACCCTCCCACCGCTTTATGATACGCTCAAATCGGCTGTTTTTCTTATTACAATATATTAACAGTTATGTAAATATGTAAATGTATGTAAATCCTACACGCTTGAGTATTTTTGTCATAGTTTTTTTTAAACTAATCTGATGAGCTGCCCTAGACGATCCTCCCTATATGTAGGGCTCGTGTATGGTGGAGGTATTCAACTAGGTGTAAGGTATTTCTCCTATCTCAATCTGACACGCTCTAAATCTCGAAATCATTTTTTAGGGCTCCCCTACTAACGGGGATTAAAAGTTCATTTTTAAATAGTGAAAAAATATCGTTACAGGAAGTTCACTATATAATAAAAGACGAACATATGGTCTAGCAAAGACTCGACTCGACACCGTCGTTTTCCAGTAATATGAAACGCTCAAGTTGCGGTTGGTTATGTTATAAACACCTACTTAGATACTTAAAGCACCTTCTATAATATTTAAAATCACTACTTTGCTTCTTGAAACAATAAAATAGTAACTTACATAGTATGCATAGAAGGGTTAAATAAATAAGTATCAAAACGCAAACATTTTGCTCATAACCCATTGTCCCACCTACATAATAGGAAAAAACCTATTGTCGTCACCCGGGTATATTAGGAATTGGATGAAATTAATATGAAAGGAAAAAGAAGAGAAGGCAACAGTAGGAAATGAATATTGCCCAGACGAATGGACCGACAGGAGGAGTCGAGGAGTGGAAACAAATAGCTTGAACATGTCAGGCCGAGACGCATACCCACAGCAAAAAACTGATTGTTGCTAGACGGTTCGAGCCATCTAACCAAATTAATTAATGAATAGACGAGTTAATATTGTTGATTCATATACCTAAAGGATAAATAGTAATGGCATAATAATGACAGATCTATTATATTATTAAAAAAGATATGTCATAATGACCTTAATCATTCTAGACAGCTATATAAATATGCTAGATCATCTAGCAAATAAATGATCCATCCATTACGATTTTAGTACGTATATAAATCTAATTTTAGTATCTCAATTTAGGAATAAAATAAAGTGTGTGGCATGTTTGTGATGGCAAAAACTAGTATAACATAATTGTTGTGTCTGATAGCTGAGAGATATGAAATTATTACAAGAAACCCATAAAAACTGTGGCTTTGGGCCGCACTCACTGCTTCCTCGACCAGCTCTGCGCCCGAGAGGTCTTAAATGTCCATCAGGGTTCAGTCGAATTGCGGAGTGCACCACTGCTAGTAAGCCCTTTTAAGTATGATTTGAGCATCTATCTGTTGGTTTTTTATTATTTTTGATTTTTTTTCTAGCGCGCGCGTTATATTTTATCTCGGAGCGCGTGGTCGTAGCGCGCTGCTGTTTTTTTTGTGACAGTGGCACCGCACATATTGCCGACTGGCATAGTGAAATGGCCCAAAACCTTACAATATTAATGTAGTGTACTACACTACAGTACAATTAGAGAAGCTTACCTGCATGATACCATACTCATGTTAAATAAGTACATCCTCCAATTCGTCTTCCTGTGAATATAATTATGGCTTGCCACTGCCAACAAAGCTAAGCTGAGAGAGGCACAAACGTACCACATTTTTACTAGAATATTATTCACAACCCAGCACGACATAGTTGAACTAATTAACAAGGAAATTAATAAACCGTCAGTTATTCTATCTGTCGTTTTAGTTCCATCTTTAGGAATTTTCTTCAGTTCTTCGAATACCACCTTTTTCAGAGTTTTGTAAAAGCCGTCCTCTTTGAACGTAAACGGCGAATTACGAGGTGTCTTCGCATCTTTGATATAATATTGAGTAAGGATTTTCTCTGCTGCTGGGTTCAAGTGATGTGATTCAAACGCTTCTGTTATATCGGTACCCTTTAATTTACAAATTATAAATATTTATAAACTTAAGAAAAATAAAACTTTACTATTGGATTACGCTAACCAGTGTTAGAGTAACGTATTTAGAAATGTATGTATATAACTTACTTTAGTCAGTTCCAGCCACTCTTCACCGCCTGGGTGTAGTTTTATAAACTTAGTCAAATCATATAGTTTATCGTGAATACGCCATAGGCCTTCAGCGCCGTCGTCCATAGACTTTCCAGCGAGCCATTGTACTGGATCTTTGAGACCAGCATCTCTCAACGATGGGTATTTAAGTTGGGGGAAGCTCGCATGTGTAGTTTTTGCAACTACTCGTCTTTGAGCTATTTCTGACCATTCAGAATTTGAAGACATTTATAAACGTAGTTTTTTTTTTAATCCACTTCTGAGTAACACTATTCGGAGTGCTCTATTACTTCGTGACGCACAACTAGTAATACTGATATATCTATAGCTACAACTGTTGACTTTATTTATAGCGATCAATTAGCTTCTCGAAAGATAAGACCGATAAGTAAATAGCACTATGTGTTTTAGCAAACATTAAAGCTGGATTAAAGAACAGTATAATGTTTTTACTTATTTATCTTGAGGTGGTTAACATAATAAATGAGTAATTAGTCCATTTATTTTAGGTGATTAAAAACTTATAGTGTTAAAGTTAAGAAGTGGTAGCTGCCTAGAGTAAATTTGTAAGACCACTCAGGCGCCGGAGGTCGCAGGACGACCTCCGTCCTCCTTAAGCGCAGACCTGGGGGTAGCAGGTGAGGCCATCTGTCACCGTAGCAGTGGCAGGACGGGTTGGCAGCGCGACGCGGGATGTAGAATGGGAACAGCATAGTTCCTACACACGAGGGGTCATCTCCAAGTCATAGATGGACTGAGGTTCCTGGTTCCCCGGCTACTGGGACCCGAGACGGTGTGCGATGTTTAGGCGGTTCGACTCCGACATATCCACCGGTGGGTGGTATCCGAGGGGATATCCGCACAGAAAAAAAAGAGTAACTTCGTTGCTAATACTAAATACTAAACTTGTAATAAATTTAATTGCTCACAATCTAGCCTTTTCTATTACGAGTATATAGCTAAGTGTTTTTGTACTTTCCATGATTTTTTTGAGTTGTAGGAGGTAAATAACGACAGACGGGTAACCTGAGGATATCGTACTTATTGTTTTTATTTTATCAGAACAACATTTGGGGGATGGTGTTACTCACGTCCGTAGGAACTACCACCTTTCCTAGGCCCACCCTACACGTGTCCCCCGGGTGGTGCAAAACGAGTAACAACGCCGAGTCTCAGGCGGCGGTAAAGTATCCTGAACAATATGAGCTAACAACTCATACTAAGCTGATAGAAGGAAATGTCTATCAGCGGTCGTAAATTCGTTGTCAAGTCTAGCGAAAACGATGACCTTGGCTTAATTGCCTGGGTCGTGAGGAAATAACCTCTTCAAAAATTCCTAATCCTACGGTGTGACCGTGCCCAAAGGATGAATGGCTGGTGGGAGACCAGTCTCAAGCGCAAACCTCGGAGTATCGGGCAATCTCCGTTGTACAAGAGCCTTCTTATGGGAATGGGCGTTACCCTGTAAGTGACCTAAGAAATTCGACCCTACTCGTGGGAACAACATGGCAAATGTAAATACCAATAATACAAATTCACCTAAAATCTTAACCCAACAAATATTTCACAAAGGCCTCTTCACAAATAAACCAAGATCAAACTCTTGTGGAAAGTCACCTGTAAAAGACACTAGTGAGCCAATTGATTTGGACAAGGAAGAAACACAATGCAATACCGCTGCAGAGCCCTGGGAAGATGTTGTAGGACGAAAAAGACAGCACAGCCCAGAACAATGTTCGATAAGCCAAAAACAAGCAAAACTCAATAGCTACTGGTTGAGTGCACCTGTTTCAACTTCCAACAGATTTACCGGCCTTGAAGATGAAAGCTCTGAGAGAGTAGAGAAGCCTCATAAGCCTCCGCCAATATTTGTTGATAAAGTCAGTAACATCCAGCCATTAATTAATATGCTTGAAGTTACAATACCAGGAAATTTTGAAATTAAAGTACTACAGTCTGAGCGAGTTAAAATTCAGGCAAACACTGCTGAGTCTTACAAAATTATGTACAAAGAGTTGAAAAAAAGGAACACTGAATTCTTCACCTACCAACCCAAAGACGAACGTAGCTTTAGAGTAGTCCTAAAACATATGCATCCTTCTACTGATTTAGAAGAAATCAAATTGGCACTTGAAGATCTCCAGCATGAAGTAAGGAACATCTGGAACATCAAACATGGACAAACGAAAAAGCCGCTCAGCATGTTCTTTATCGACCTAAAACCGCAGGCGAATAATAAAGATATTTATAAATTGAATAGCATACTCAATTGTAGAGTTACCTTTGAGGCTCCTAGACCCAAACGGGACATCCCACAATGCTCTAATTGTCAGCAATATGGACACACCAAAAAATTTTGCCATAGACAACCAAAGTGCGTTAAATGTGCAGGTTCTCATCGCACATCTGACTGCTCCAGGAAGGAACGTTCCGATAAGGTGAAGTGCATCCTCTGTGACGGTAACCATCCTGCGAATTACAAAGGTTGTAAAGTCTACAAGGAGCTACAGAAAATGAAATACTCAGCCCCACCTCCAAAGAAACCCTTTAAGTCACCCCTAAATTCAAAAATAACTCGGCCAACTGGAGCAACTAACCCAACATATAGCGAAATAGTACAAAACAACTTACCAACAAAAGACAACACAGACACACAAACAACGGAATCTTTCTTGCTAAAGTTAAATGAAACAATGCAAGCTGTTATGAATCAGATGTTAATAGTCACAAAACTTCTAACTGAACTCACGTCAAAATTGACTTCACATTCCAACCACTAAATATATGTGTGTGGAATGCAAATGGCCTGTCAAATCACTCTGAGGAGTTAAAATTATTCCTAAAAATAAAAAAAATAGATGTAATGCTAATTTCAGAAACCCACTTTACAAGCAAAAGCTATTTCAAAATACAAGGGTACTCCCTGTACCACACTATGCACCCAGATGGCAAAGCCCACGGTGGCGCTGCAATCCTGATAAAGGCAAATATCAAGCATCATGAGTCCTCACCCTACTCAAAGGAATATCTGCAAGCATCATCCATCGTGGTGTCCGATTCAATTAACAAATTAACTTTGTCAGCCGTCTACTGTCCACCAAGACACACCATCAAAAATACTGAGTTTGCTGATTATTTCCGTTCTTTGGGGCCGAGATTTGTCGCTGGAGGTGATTACAACGCCAAACACACGTACTGGGGTTCAAGGCTGATACTACCTCGCGGTCGTGAACTACTTAGATGCGTCCAAATGAACAACATGTATGTTCTCTCATCAGGCCATCCCACATACTGGCCAACAGATCCCAAGAAAATACCAGATGTCATCGACTTTTGCGTAATTAAGGGAATAGCCAAAAATTATCTGTCCTGCCAAAGCTGTTTGGACTTATCATCGGATCACTCACCAATTATTATTAACCTTTCTACCACCTTAACAGCGGAGGAACCTAGGTGCAATCTACACAATCGTAGAACAAACTGGTCACTATTCCGGCACTTAATTGATACAGCATTGGTTGAACCAGCTAGACTAAAGACTGAGGATGACATAATTTATGCAGTCGAACATTTTACAAGGTCTCTGCAAGATGCTGCTTGGGATTCCACACCATTAGCAGGAAAAACTGGGGAAGATTTGCCCATAGCCCATCACCTTCTAGAGTTGGTAGCACAAAAGAGAAGACTGAGGAAACGGTGGCAACTATCACAATGCCCACAAGCGAAAAAGCTGTTTAATCATGCCATCAGGAAACTCAAGAATGCAACCACTCGAGATCGTAATTTGGCCTTTCAATTGCATCTGAGCGGTCTGGATGCCTCCGCATCATCAGACTACTCGCTGTGGAAAGCTACAAAGAAAATTAGAAGACCTACTAATGTCTCCCCAGCCTTGCGTGCACAGGACGGGAGATGGGCTCGTACTGATGCCGAAAAAGCAAACACTTTCTCTGTCCACCTACAATCCGTTTTCAAACCCCATCCAAATGAAGGTACCCCCGAACAAGAAAGAGAGGTATCCAACTACTTGGCGGAGGAAGACTCAAGCGCAGAAATAGTTGACGACATGCCCAATTTCAATAAAAATGAAGTGGTACGGGCTATAAAAAAGATTGACTCAAAGAAGGCCCCCGGTTTCGACCTCATCACTAGTAGGCTGCTGGCCGAACTGCCAGACTCTGGAATGACTATGCTCACGTCCATTTATAACAGCATGACAAGACTCAGATTTTTCCCTCCACAGTGGAAAGTAGCCAAAATAATAATGATCCCTAAGCCCGACAAGGCTCTGGAAGATCCTAAATCCTACAGACCTATCAGTCTACTACCGATTCCTTCGAAGGTTTACGAGTCGCTCCTATTAACTCGCATGCTACCAATAATTAAAACAAAACATCTGGTTCCAGACCATCAGTTTGGATTCCGTCATAAGCATGCTACTATCGAACAAATTCACAGACTTACAGTCGAAATACATAAAGCGTATGAAGCCAAAAAATACTGTACAGCCGTCTTTTTGGACATCTCGCAGGCCTTCGATCGGGTCTGGCACCAGGGTTTGCTTTACAAAATTAAAAAATCCATGCCCCCTCACCTGTTTTGTATGATCAAAGCTTTCATAACTAATCGTCACTTTATGGTTCAGTGTGGAAACGAGATGACAAGCCTTTGCCCCATCCTAGCGGGGGTTCCACAGGGAAGTGTAATTGGTCCGATCCTCTACCTGCTCTACACCTCGGATTTACCCACCAGTGAAAAAATTACAACAGGTACTTTTGCTGACGACACAGCCATTTTGGCCACCCATAGTCAGCCAGAAATCGCAGCCAAACTACTACAAGAAGGTTTGAATAACATAGCCGACTGGCTAAAAAGGTGGCGGATCAAAGCTAATGAAAGCAAGTCGGTCAACGTTACTTTCACCCTGCGAAGAGAGCACTGTCCACCAGTGACATTGAATGACGTAGAAGTCCCTCGGGCAGATCACGTGCGGTATCTTGGACTGTACCTCGATAAACGTCTTACCTGGAAGAAACACATTCTTACCAAGAGAAAACAGCTTGGTCTACAGCTGAGAAAACTTTACTGGCTCATTGGTTGTAAATCCCAGTTATCAAGGGAAAACAAACTTCTAGTATATAAAGCCATCCTCAAACCTGTGTGGACGTACGGCATACAACTATGGGGAACAGCCTCACACTCCAACATAGAGATCCTACAACGTTTTCAAAACAAAATGCTGCGCATAGTTACTGGTGCCCCATGGTTTGTGACTAACGAACAACTGCACAACGATCTGAAGATGCCTACAATCAGGGAGGAAATAACTAGACACACTAAGGCATACAGGGACAGAATATCAAACCACCCAAATATATTGGCCCAACCGCTTATGGACAACAGTTTGAAAATCCGTAGGCTAAAGCTCAGAATCCCCCAGGATGTGCTGTGATAAGAGCACATTATAACTAGAACAGGGTACGGCATTGGCCGCATCCCTGCACACGACTTCCAATTTATGCCCAATCTATCGCTTAATGTCCTGATAAAGAGACAGATTGCTGTATTAAAGATGAACAAAAAAAAAAAAAAAAAAAAAAAAAAAAGAACAACATTTGTACGAGTTCTTTTGCCCATAGATTCTCTCACGTAATTTCCCAAACCTCTGGATCAAATTTGTTTCTGGATAAAATGGACCTTCGTTATCTTGACAACATGTATCTAAAATTATGATGCAACTTATAAAATAAAAGGAAATATGTCCTTTTATTTATTTAATTTTATAAATGACGATTTCACTTGAATTATTGACACTCAACCATTATGCATTTTTCAAGAATCTTTTTGCCTTGCACAACCAACCTGTCGAACAAATTGTCGAACGTGCACCTTCACACCTTTAAGAGAAGAGTACTCCACCACGAAGGCTAGCAACGAATAAGTGTCTCTTAAGTTGCAGGTAACCCATGTACAGCCATAGTCAGTTACCACCAGTGACTTATCCGCTTGTGTGATTCCTGCACTGAAAGAGATAAGTTGTAACATTTTATGAAGACAATAACAACAAATTATATTTTATGACGGTGTCTACATTGCTACAATGAAGGAATTTTACTGCTTAATGTCAATAATATGTTAGAGTAACAACTTCTGTCATCAAACAAGTGAAAACTATAAAAAAAAGGTAGAAGTGCCGACATTGTAGATAATACAAAAGTTATTGTCATTACACAATAATAGAGGCTTCAGGGCCTTACTTATGCTGATGATGATTGATTGATTGAATGATTCGTGATGATATTATTCTAAATTGAAATATGTTTTTCACTTTACATTACGAATAAATAGTATACAGATCGGGATTCTCTATAAATAATAATAAAACTAAAATTAATTTCAGGACTTCCTACGGCTTAAATCATAACCTTGATTGGCAAAGAACAAAAATGGTTATGTGATGTAAAAAATATCTTTAAATTTATATAATATAACCTAATATGTATAATACAATCTAAGTGGTTAAGTAATAACTGCAGATTAACACATTGCAAAGTTAAGCAATCATAGCCAGGTCAGTCTATGGATGGGTGAGCATTCTTACCATATTGAGACCCCTCCGTGCCTCGGGGAGCCAGTTAAGCTGTCAGTCTCGGTTGCCATACAAACATCTGTTTCAATCGTTACGGGTAGTTGGAGCCCTAAAAAACCGTAAAAAACCGTAAAAACCGAAGTTCAGCTGTATCGTAGTAGACTTAAAGCCGACCCCAACCTAGTTTGGGTAAAGGGCTCGGAGGAAGAAGATTCGCACAGATCGTTGTAAACCTGATTAGTACAAAACTGGAATGGTAGCTCTTTGGAAGTCCATGGAAATAATTCCTGCCTGCTAGTAGCGGGAAGGGCAGTCTGTCGCTAGAAATGATGGCTAGAGCCTACTGCAAGTTCATTCAAGACTTTTTGTTATTTCCATCTGCTGAACTCTAATATAAAAAGTAACAATTAAAAGAAATCAAATATCCGACTTCAAAAGAGAATTTAAAAGTCATTACTTTCGGTCGGTCCTTCGGTACTTTCGGTCTTGTAGTGCATTTCTACAAGACCGAAACAGCGGGAGGTCCAACACAAAAATGGCCCATTTTTACTCTATCACAAAATTTCATGAAACGAATTTATTATTCCTTATTAAATTTTAATCTATCATTTGTGTATATTTTTGTAATCCCCTTTTAATTTTCTTGATTTTAATACCCTATTCAATAGATTTGGTTGTTTTTTTACTATACTATAATATATTATTTTCCGCCATAAATCAGCCATTTTATTTTTTCTTTCAAAAAGCCAGCTAACTTGGGTTTTTGGGACGGATAAAACAATACCTTAACTGACGAAATCCATCCTGCAATTTGAAAGATACGAGTTAATGAAGAAATTTACAAACAAACATACAAGATACGCGAGAAAAACATAATTCTTCCTTGGCAGTCGAGTAAAAAGATTCGACTGCCAAGGAAGGGAAGAATTACTTATTTTATGCGTCTTCTCACGGTGTTAAAACTTCCACATAATGTTCATTACTTTTTATTTATTCAATCAGTATATGTTTTTTTATTTAATTACCACATTCACACAACATTCGCGTCTCGGTAAACGTAGTGTAGGACGCCCACAGGCCAGGTGGAGTGACGATTTGCGCAAGATGGCTGGCAGGAGCTGGATGCGAGAAGCCCAAAATCGATCTAAGTGGTGTGCAATGGGAGAGGCCTATGTCCAGCAGTGGACTGCGATAGGCTGATGATGATGATTCACACAACGCCATCTAGTCCCAAACTAAGCAAAGCTTGTACTATGGGTACTAGACAACTGATATATATATAGATATACTTTTTTTCTGTAAATACATACATATTATACATAGACACACCCAGACCAAATCAAACATTAAATGCTCATGCACACAAATGTTTCACTTGAGTGGGAATCGAATCCGCGACCTATAGAATAGCAGTTCGTTACACAAACCACTACGCCATCCGGTCGTAAAATTACGACACGAAAAGATAATCAAATTAATTAACTATTATAAAATAGTTAATTTATTTGGTTATCTTTTAATAATAAAATTATAGGTTAAACTAATAAATGTTATGTTTACAAAACATACGTATATAATAATAGTTATTCTTATTACGCAACACTGTTCCTATATAAAAGTCCGTTAAGAGCTTGTTAATTGATTTAGACAGTCTTTGCATTTTAAACTGTGCGCACGTTATCACATCCACAATTTACTATGTTTTAATTAAAATGGCACCTAAAGATATAGAATATATAGAAATAGCTCATCGAAGAGCTGCAGAAAAGAAAACTCATGTTAGTTTCCCGCAATTAAAATATCCTTCACTCAGAGATGAAGGGTTAAGACATCCTGTGCAATGGTTGGAAGGAAAGGCTATGGACGACGGAGCGGAAGGCTTATGGAGAGTATATGATGGATTATACGATCTCACCGAATTTTTGAATAAACATCCTGGTGGCGCAGAGTGGTTGGAGTTATCCAAGGTAATCCGTTTATAAAGCATAAAGTGTGTTTAGAAATAGAACAAATCTAGTTTTGACACTATTGTTACTAATTTTTGTTGCTTTTTGTTTGAGCCAATGAAAAATTGAGCCACCGAACCTAAAAACTAACCGCGCTGTGTATTATTTTGTGTATCTTGTGTACAAAAGTAAACATCTTATATTTAATGAAAAAGACACAAAATTAAGAGTTACTCTAGACTAGTCTAATTTTATATTTTAATATTAAAAAAGGTTAAATTCTCAAGAATAATTTCCAAACACTACTATATTATTAGTTAGTGGTGTTTGTATTTTAATTATACTATATTATTATATTATAATTTAAAGTTAGCATTAATTTAACTATCCTAACTAAAGTTATTTAAACATCTTGTTCATAACTGCCTATAAAGAAAGCATTATATTTCCAGGGCACAGACATTACTGAAGCGTTTGAGACTCATCATCTAACATCTGTTGCCGTAAAAATTTTGGAAAAGTACTATGTCCGAGATGCTAAAACACCAAGGAACTCTCCCTTTACATTCGAAGAAGATGGTTTTTACAAAACTTTAAAGCGAGAAGTATTAGAAGTGCTTAAGACGATTCCAGCGCATGAATCAAAAAGAACTGATTTCATTATTGACAGTTTATTTGTGATTACTCTCGTAACATCCGTTTTATCATTAATATTTACAAATTACTGGTTTGTGATGGCATCATATCTTATAGCGTCTGTATGTTTAGCATGGACCGCGGTTGCTTCACATAATTACCTTCACAGGAGAACGAACTGGAGAATGTATCTATTCAATTTAACCCTATGGTCTTACAGGTAACCTCAAAGCTATCTTACAACATGCTTCAACAATTTAACAAATACTTATAATTTTTGTATTTTCAGGGACTTTCGGGTTTCTCATGCACTTTCGCATCATCTCTATCCTAATACTCTTATGGATTTAGAAGTTAGTGGACTTGAACCTTTTGTATTATGGAACCCAAGGAAGAAACCTTCATATGCTAAACTTGCACTTCTCATTGAACTTGCACTTTTCCCCTTTTTATTTATACTAGCTTTCTTAAAGAGGTAAGGAATATTATCAAGTTATCTAACTGTCAAAACGTTTGCAAAAATAGCCAGTGAATCTCATTTCTTTTCAGATTTTCTTTGAACTTTACATCTAAAGGATTTTTCAAAAATCACTACAAATGGCACGATGGTATCGGATTACTTCTACCGTTGTGGATGTACATTGCCAGTGGTGCTCCTCTGTTTGAGGTGTTAAAAATGTGGCTCTGGATTGACTGCACTGCTAGCTTAACTTTCTACAGTATTGGGTCTAATGCAGCTCACCATCATCCTCAAATATTTAAAGATGGCGACCAAGTCAAGTAATTATGTCTCCATTTTGTGTTTAAAGTTGATTTTCTAAATCATCTATTGTTTGATTTGTTACTTTTGTAGTAGAAAACTCAATTTTAGTTGGCCCTTAAAGGTTTTCTCTTTTTCTTGGGCAATGGAAAACTATTGGTATTTTTTTTTATTCTTGCTAATAAAAAGACGTGTCTTTATTTTATAGTATTTTTAGTAAGTTCAGTAATACAATCTTCGTAAAAATGCAAATACGGTAACGTCAACGTAAAAATTGGGTCAGATTTACGGTAACGTTTCAATGTGCAAACGCAAAAAGTATAATTTCTAATAAAACATTTTTGATTTCTAGGAGCAGTACTGTGGACTGGGGCATGCACGAGCTCGAAGCTGTGATGGATCGTACCGATATTAATGGGAACTTCTTTAAAGTAATGACGTTCTTCGGCGACCACGCATTGCACCATCTCTTCCCCACTGTAGACCATGCCATGCTGAGTCATTTGTATCCCGTGTTTTTAAAGAACTGTGAAAAATTCAAAGCTAACTTCAGAATGACATCTTCTATAGATCTTTTCATCGGTCAACTAAAAGCATCTGTGAAAGTTGACCCCAATTTGTTGGAGGAACAAAACTGAACTGTGTCGTATAAATTGATTGATCATCATCATCATCAGCCTATCACAGTCCACAGATGGACATAGGCCTCCCCTATTGTACGCCACTTCGATCGATTTACGGCTTCTCGCATCTAGCTCCTGCCAGCCATCTTACGCAAATCGTCACTCCACCTGGCCTATGGGCATCCTACACTGCGTTTACCGTGACGAGGTCTCCACTCAAGAACTCGTTTATAAATTGATTAATCTTAATAATACAAATTTTTAATATTACAAAAGGAATCCGGCTATTTTCATCGTGAAGCGATTAGACCTGTTACTATACTTTAAAGGCCGTTAACCCCTTATAATAAAAGCTATTGTAGAACCAAAAGTGGCAAATGATAGAACGATTTTATTCTTTATTAACACCAGACGACCTCTCGGTCATAGGGCGCTGATAGCACTAATAAAATAAAGTTTGCAGAAACATGTGCAACTTAAATTTCTTTATGACGATGCAATATAAAGTTTGTTGAATAAATTCAATAGTTTTATTGTTACTTTGTTGTATACTTAATAATAGATATGCATTAAAAGCATTAACATACTATATTTTAAAACAGGTAGTACGTAAGTTAGGGAAACAACCTCGAAAGCTGGCTGTCGAATACTTTTGGTATCACCCTCGACTGCCTGTAGTCCTAATAAAAGGATCATAATGAAGCTGAGTTGGTCTCTAGTGCGCTTCCATATCATTGTCTGAATTTATCCGTACCATGCCACATTTCTCTAACCGTCTCCTAGCCAATTCGTCCAATGAATCGTTGCCTTTTGAACCGCTGTGATTTTTTATCGTCTAAAAGGTTATCTTATTGAGTTTGATTAGGCTTACATAGACGACGTTGTCGTTGAGAGCTTGTAGACGGATCGATCGATCGGAATATTGTGTTATGAGTTTCTAGTGTGGCCGTTAAAGTAAAGTACTTCAAAAGACGTCTGTGGCATACGAAAGAGTGGCATATTAAAAGTGTATAAAAATGTACTCTCTTCAACTCACAAAACAGAATAATAGGTTCGTAACCTTAATTTGTAAATTAAAGCTGTAGTCACAATATTTTATGAACCAAAATGCTGTTCTTTTGTGTTTTAATCAATATATGTGTAATTAGACTATCAATTCACTGGGAGCCTCGGGTCATTGTGATGACTCTTGTTATCTACCATAACTAGTTATCTGGGGGCACGGTAGTGTCCCCGCCAAGACAAGCGAAGCTGCCAAGCCTTTTCTCGAGACCTTTTTGATAGATCTTTGATAATGGTTTACAATGGGCCAAAACATCTTTCTTCTTTTTCAGGAAAAGTCTGTCAACCCCACTTATGTTTGCTGAGAAATCAATATACAGTTCTCTTACAAGCGTCTTTGCTTACAAATGAATTAAAAATTGTAACACTTCAAGTTTTAAGCTGTACTTGCGACCGTGAAATATTGTCGCATCGTAGAATATATGATGATAACATCATCACATCAACAGCCTTTAATAGTACACTACTGGACATAAGTACTACACCACGCTGGCCAGACGAGTTTGTATAGGGTTTGTGTTAAGTTTTCTTTCTACCGCAGTGCTGTTGTTGAACCATGAAAAAACCTGGTAGCTTCATTGAAAATCATAATAAACTATTAAGTTTTTGTGTCAGTGGGATACACTTTATAGAGAAATTAACTACTTTAACAGTAATAAAAACCATTTTTTATTATGTCACAGCCCTTGTACGTTAGCATTCAATAACTAAAACTTATTAGCGACGACTTAGATAACGGGTAGTATTAGACGATAGAGATCCTTGTAAGTTCTTTAAAGCTGCCTTTGTGAACGTTGTTTAAAAAACGACCTTCTTTGAGCGTAACTAATTCATTGAAGTGTGCAACTTTACAGTAATATTCTGTAAGAATATTTTTTCTTACACTACAAGTTTTGTACATAATATTAATCCTCACAAATTATAAATAAGAAATCAGCATATAATATATTGTTTGAGCCTTTTTATGGTGTAGGGGCAAAAGAGACGGGTCACCTGATGGTAAGTGACTACCGTCGCCCATGAACATGCAACTCAGGAGTCAAAAGTACTTTGCCACCTTTTGAGCTTCTCCCCTAGAATTAGAGAGAAGTTTGGGTTCCGGTAACCTCACTTATTCAGTGAAAAGCAACGACAAAAAACAGTGGCACTCTGGGAGTGCCGACAGAAGTGAACACTTTTTGATTATAACAGGTTTTTTTTTGTTTTTTTGTTATCTATGTTGTCGTATATAAACAATATATTTTTATATTATTAATGTATTTGAACCCAAACTCAACTATCGTTTAAACGGGGTCAATATATATAGATACTTCTATACAAAGATATCGGTACCGGTAACGAGTTCAGTGGTTTATTCCCATCTCAAAAACTACATTCTTTTGTTTGTTGTTCAAAAATGCCCAACACGCCTAAAGAAGTTTTCACTTCAAAAAATGCTTAACACCGGTTATCTCCCACGGAATGTCTGTAATCAGTCTAACCATCTAATTTAATATCACATAAATAGATAATTTTGTATATAGACACACACGCACGCCTGGGTAGGCGGTGGTGTATTAATAACTGACATTTTGACATCTATGTTCGGTCCACTTACGTAAAGCAGACGAGCCTTTGGCCTTTATCTTTGGGAATTCAAGATAAGAAAACTAAGACGAGTCAATTAAGAAAAATCTATTTTTATACATAATGGTGCTCTTACTTATAATATATATAACAATATAAAACAATTTATCTAAAATAGCTCTGTATTTTGGGTAAGTTCACACTTTTTAGGGTTTCGTATTTCAACAAATAAAGGTCGGACCGCATTTAAGCGGTGCAACGCGTCACCGCGCTGTGCGTCAAAATATTCCCCAGGCGCCGACGCCCAATGCAGCGCCGCAAAAGGATAATTTGACGAGTCGTCCCGCGTGCAGTGCGATCTGACCTTAAAAATGAAACTTCAAGTGCATTATTTCTTTGGGCGTCTATTGGTCTATGGGCCTGTCTGTCAAAAAGCTTTTTCTTGGAAACGTGTAGGGTATCAAGTTGAAATAAGCATTAAAATCTTATGTTCCTTGAAGATTTAAAAAATCAAACTTGGATGCAAATAATAGATATGGCATTTTTACAAATTCTAAAACTTTGCCGTAATTTTTTTCTAAATTTACGACTTTTCAATTTTTCCTTTGCTGAGGCGAAGTCAATATAAAAAGTTGCGTCATTACGTCATTATAATACATTACGTCATAAAACATTACGTCTTTAATAACATGACATATTAAGATAAAAAATAGGATGATATTACATTTTCAATGGTGCTCTTTATTTCTGAATAACTACGTAATTTGGTTAATTAAGTTGTGTATAGCCTAATCTCATGCTATAAAAATGGAACTTTCAAACATAGAGATTAAACTACAATCCGGTTTATTAAATCTTGCCCATCTTTAAGATTCGCAATCTTTGAAATGGGGGTATTACGGCGCAGATGTAGTCGGAATATAAATTCCTTTGAATACTACCGCTAAGCCAACGTTGTTGCTAGCGCGTCGGGACATTAAACCTGGTGGAACATCTTCATCAAAGGCCGGAGTCCAATAATTAACGCTCAGCCTACTCTGAAATGAAAACCCTCTACAATATTTCCACGAATTAAATTTGAGTGCGTCTTGGACCAGACGTCAGTCTAAATAACAACCAAGTTTTATAAATGGAATGTTTCTTTGAGTAGCTTATTGGATTTCTAGAATTTAATAGTTTGAATGTATAATTCGAGGAATGCGTTCAAAAACAGTTGAAATGAAATTTTAGAATATCTTGTAATATTTGCTACAAGCTGAATTTTCGAGATTAAAGATCAAACTTAAAATATTTTTATTTAAATAAGTGGGTACTAGTTTGCACTCAAATAAACGAAAATAGAAATAAAAAGCAATTTAGTACAAATAATATATATTTTGGGAGACATAAAAGAATTTTTAAGGTTTTTTATAGTAATATTGAAGTACTCGACGATGACGATGAGCTCCTCGAAGAGAATCTTCTAACTTGTAGTGTTGCTGCATACTTCTCGTAAGGGAAAAAGGCTTTGTGTTTTCCAAATACACCAGGGCATGAGGAGAGTAGTAGATTTTTACAATTTTATCCGTATTAATTTTTTATGTTAACCTATTTCAGGGAGTAGGACTGATTCCGGCAAGTTCTATTTTTAACCGACTTCCAAAACACAAAAGAGGAGGTTCTCAATTCGTCTGTACTTTTTTTTTATGTATGTTTTCGATTTCGATTTCTCCGTCAATTGTGGACCGATTTTCAAAATTCTTTTTGTAATCGAAAGGGTATGCTCCCGAATTGGTCCCATTACCAACAATTCAGGATCTGATGATGGGATCCTAGAGAAATCGAGGGAAACCTTCACAATTATTGGGAATTTGACAGCCCTGACAACGTGTTTTAGCCACGAGTATTTCTTTAGCCAAACAAACCATGGCAACCGTCAGAGACTGCGCGATGTGATGCGCAGAGAACTTGCACTATTTATGTCACCACAGTAATTTTCGTTGTATTAAGAAGAAAAGGTTGAAATGTTGTATTCTATCTTGTTAAAATAATTCGGATAGACGTTTTGTTGCTATGGATGGCATCGCATTTCGTTTGTAAGTAATTTTATACTTAATTTATTAAAATAGTTCTGGAAAAAACTCTTAAATTTTGTGTGGGTCAACTTTCTAAGGAGAGGCCTATGTCCAGCAGTAATTTAATATAATATTTAATATAATCTAACAAACTACAGTTTGTTATTATACATTACGGTACGTAGTGTTTTAAATATCGTACTTATCTACTCATTACACACATATCCTACACTAAAAATGGTAAAATAAACCCTTTAAAAAAAAAAGTTAAACCCACTTCAAACAACACCGACAAAGAGCACTAAAAATTAAAAAATAATTACAAATCTAAGT